TCACTACCGCAGAGGCGACGAGGCGCGGTTCGCCGGCGCAGAGGCGACGAGGCGCAGCTCACCACCGCAGAGGCGACGAGACGCGGCTCGCCGGGGCAGAGGCGACGAGGCGCAGCTCACCGCCGCAGAGGCGACGAGGAGAGGCTCGCCGTTGCGCCGGCCTGCCGCGAGACGGCGCTGCGGAGGCCCGGCCAGTGGCGGACGTGGCACATGGCCGCACGCGCTGAGCAGTGTGGGCACAGGCGCAGTGGACACAGCTCACAGCGGCAGGGCACGCTGTCACCAGAAGTCGCGAATTCAACAGGCACCGTCGGGAAAACGGTTCGGGGTGTGTCACAGACAATCCTATTGCACGGGAACGGTTCGGCTCCGGTGCGGTGCGGGGCGGCGCAACGAACTCGCCTTGCCCTCACCCTTCTTCCTCGCTCGTCACAAGTAGCGGCCAGGGCGCACCATGGACGCCGCCGATCCCAGCACCAAGCACCAATCGCCGCACCGCGCGGCCATTGGGCCGAATTCGGCTCCATTAGGACGAGCGTCCCGCCACTTCGCCTGCGCTCCCGCGGCGATACTCCCACCGAGCCGGCGCTCCCGCGGCGATACTCCCACCGAGCCGGCGCGCCCCGCGTACCCACCGGGTCACCTGGACCGGCGGATGAGGCGCTGCCGGGCGTGCAGCGAGGATCCACACGCCGAATAATACTACGTCGACATGGGCTGTGACCGGAACAGCTCTTCCTTGTGGATAATTCGCTACTAAAAGCCTCGACCATGGCAGCCCAGTGGCATCCGCTATTCAGTCGTTTAAAACTTGGCTAGAGGGTCAACCGGAAACAATATCCCACCTCCCCTGTCGTCTAAATACCGACATATCTCCTCTAAGCAAGAAGGGTCTTGCGCTCCAAGTTTTTGGCATTAAGAGAACCTAGTGAGAATAAGTGCTCTTCAATAAACCAGGAGATACTTTTAACACGACATTATCATGGAAACAATGGCTAAAGGGCAGTTCCAGGACAAATCGTGGACCTGGACCCCAACTTTGCACCCTCATGTATGGTAATTGCTTCAAACCTGGTAAATCGGCTGATCTAGATGCATTGATTGTTGTCTGACAGTTTGAACCCAGTCGGGTAATGGGTTTAGGCCAATGGTGTAATTTCACGTCTCTGAGATTGGGGGGGGGGGGGGGGGAATCAGAATTACAGGAGTCAAACTGGGATCTTAAGGGTTAACCTGACATGGAAATGACATTTTGGATGCGAAGACGTGAGAAACGTGCATACTTTGGGCACAATGGGAGGAGCCCCCCACATTATAAAACATAGAGACGTGTCCCCTCCCCCCTCCCCCCCCCCCCCCCAGTGGTCACCCTCACGGTATATGCCGTCAAGTCATGACCTTTTCGGGGCCATCGATTGCAGTTCTTTACAAACTTGTGGATAAAACACTACCAAAGCCTTAAAAGAAACAGAAGATCTGAATATCTCCAGAAACGGCAGAAACTGAGCAATCTAAAGCACGCGTTTACATTTCTTCTGAGGTCCATACTAGAGACGCAACTCTCTCCAAAATATCAGCCCGCAGCCAAGGCCGCCCCACCCAGATCATGACCACACCCGAAAAAGCCCGCTGTGTTACAATGCTAACCCGTCATTTACCCGCAGGTACTAAATAAATGCAATATGCGTTTAATCGTTTCATCTTAATTCTAGCCCTATACATTAGTGTGCAAAAAATGGCATGTTTGTGCCATCTAATACCTTATCTTGTTTGGCTAACAGCAATGATGCTGCTCAGAGAACAGCTACCAAAGTGCCTAACGATGAAATTAAAAATGCACCAAAGTAGATCTTAAACACTGATGGCAGTTTTCAACCGCACAAGATACGGAAGAGAGTGGAAGTTAAAGTTGCCTTTCACCAAAACGCACAGAAGATTTAACCCTTCTCCTTCACCTCAGTACACCACGGATCATGTCTTCTGAAATGGCGTGCATCGACTGATAGCTTTGCACTGACAAAGTACAAAATGCTGGATGCTTCAAGTCATAGGAAGTCTCCTCAGTTCATTACACTGGACAAAAGCTCAAACATCTTTTGATTGCGTCACAATTGCCACGTTTCGAATTTTCGTTGAAGAACTACAGCCAATTTTTACGTCGCATCTAGTTCGTAAAGTTCTTTTTATACGATATCCGTAGCATCGTTTTTCATAGCTTTTTGGAATGTGTGTAACCAGTGAGTGAGCGATGCAACGAACCGAGGCTATTACCCGTTGGAATGAGCCAAAGATCTGAGAGCCACCTCGCGGATGGTTTTCAGCAAAATAATATAAATACAATACATTTACCAATCAAAACAGCACACGCTGCTCGTGACAGGACATTGTCATTTATATTATCCATTGGCACTAAATGACATGCATCCAATTTGCTTCTCTTGGCTTTATTTCAGCATTGTTTTCTAATGAACCTGAGCTTCCAGAAGCAGGTTGAACTTTCCAAAAAATTTCAGCCGTCAGTTATCACTCCAACACTGATAACGATGAGGCCTCCTCGATTTTACTACAACGAACACCCTCGGCCTTCCAGCAGTCAGTCGGGGAGTCGTGGCCATTTCCTTCCGTAACATCCGTTCACCTGTAACAAATTGGGATGTGGTGACCAGTTTTTCTTTCGCTCATGAACTCAGCGTTGTTGATGTGATTCTCGTGTGGTAATTTTGGAAAATCAGGACTCCTGGCTCCGTGCTTTCATCAAAGGTGACAAAAAGTTGAACACTAAGCCATTCGCTTGTACCGCGTAATTTTCCTTTTATGAGGCTTGCCCGCGTCGTCATCAGACACGCGCATTCTAAATGCATCCTTTCCAGCTTCAGTTCATTGACAGAAGGCGTTGTCGCTGCTTACCCTCCTTCCAAGCGACACCCACTCTCTGCTGCACCCTCTGAATGACTGCGAAATGGGGCGGATGTCGCCGATGTCACAGAGGGCACGGTCCTTCTCTTCGTTACCGATGAAGTCCAATGTCGTACACTGCTGCCCGTTTACACGGTTAACATCGGAATATCGACTGATAGCCGGCAGCGCGCTTCACGCTTAAATGTCGTGGTTACAAAGTGTGATTCATCTACTTCTAGTTGTCATAATTACCAAGTCAGCCGGGTACAAGCTCATCCGTAAATAAACGTTTCCACACAATCGGCTGCTGAATTTGTGTCGCCCTGCTATCCCATAACAAGCGGAGCGCGTTCCTTTGGTGCTACCTCAATTACTGATGAAAGCCGCTCCTTCCGTGATCACGAGACACAACACGTGGGCTTCAGCTGAACGATTGCGTGGGTTTTCCATTGGTCATGAAATGAACATCATAAAAAGCATGTCAATTTTGGTGCACAGCTGGTGGACTTGGCAAATATCAGAACATACTTCTCTGTAGTGAAGCTAACAGACCTGTGAAATAGGGAGCGACCGCGATCAGAAAAGTACTTCTTGCATTCAGCAAGGCAAGAGCTTTCGAATGAATTCCATATCAGTGTGATTTGGTGCAGTACCACCCCACTGGGTAATTTTTTACCGTGTCTGACCTTGCTGGAGCCGAGTTAAGGCGAGATCAGTCAAACGCGTTTAACAAGTATGTAAGCATGTTTGGTACAACGGATGCAATTGTCTGATGCCCTTGGCGGCTAACCTGGTATGTAATGGTACCGAGCACAAGGACTGTTAAAAAACTTTGCGGTCGCGTCTGACGAAGGCTACTGACCCAGTAGCCTACCTTAAACAAAAAAGCGTGTTTTGGTAAATGGAGTCACTCGGCTACATCAAAAGACTTTGTTTTTGTGAAGCAGACTGAAGAAAGATAACCTGAGCAAAATTGTCAAAATTTTCACATTGATGAATATCCACAGGGCCACAAGTAAGGTATTGAACAATAATCCATGTAAATGTCTGCTTTAGAGACATAGTTCCCGCCGGCTCTGAACAAATTTGGGTAGGTTTCAATTCGCATGTTTCAGTGCTGCCGATCTAAAGCTCTGTAATGAGCTGAATTCGCTGACCCTGAAAAGGCTGTGACCTCTGTAGCTTGACCCTGTGGGCTGAATGGGCTCAGAATTTCACAGAACGATCAGGACATCTAGATGATTCAATGCACCAAGTTAAAATTTATTCTGAAACGAAGTGGTTTTACCCTCTGTACAAGATGCTCCCAAACGCCCCTTTATGGACAAAACTTGATTGAGCTTTGTCCATATGGCTGATGCTTCCTTGACAACGCCATTTAACCTGTAACTCCTGGTATTTCGAGGGGTAGTATCACTATCGTAATAAGATCCACCAACTCGCAATGATGGAATATCGCGACTAATCATGCATGTTATCCCCTCCCCGGCCCAACATAGCCTAAATAATATCGTCACAATGCATCCACATTGTGAGGATCCTTGCTATTGCAATGCGGATAACGCGCAGTCCGGGAAGTAAAAGACAATCAAACCACCTCAACGTTTACAACCCCTGAAATGTGCATGATGAAGTTATGACATGAACCATTCATGTGCTAATTTTCTTTCCACGGGGAACAATAGAAATGCAAGGATTTAGAAGACCTACAAAACGACATCCATCTAGCGTAAACCGACCTGCCAACCATAACCCATCAGTTCAGTGCAGACAGCAGCCTTTATGATAGCGCTGCCCCCGTTAGAGTGGTAGCTCGAGTGTCCGCGCACGTAATTTCCGTGCTGAGTGGTTCACGCCTGCTGCAATCGAGCCCGGCCAGGGTCAACGTCCGATCACCAGCGGCCGCAGGCGTCTGGGCCCGGGTGTCGCGGACGCTCCTACCACATCAGATGGAGCCGTCCCTGACCGACGGATGCCGGGGTGATAGGGGCTCGCGTAGGTGCTGGGCAGTTGTGTGGAGCGCCAGGCAGTGGCGCGGGGCGCCGTCGAGGTCAGGCACTCGAAGCAGTGACAGCCACGGCGCGGGCCGTGCGGCCACTCACAGGCAGTAGAGCAGGAAGCAGCTGCAGAAGACCATGGGTAGCTCGTCGGACAGCTGCATCTCGTACAGCAGCGTCATGTGGAACGCCCACGAGCCCAGTCCCACCACTGCAACGGCAGATGAGCGGGCGTCAGCACCTGACGCACGCAGCGCCGCCAGAGGACGCAACACGCACCGCGGCCGCCGGTGCGCCAGCAGCTAACCGCTATACTCGGCAGGGTTTTGTTTCGTTCAGGCCCCCTTAATCAATGACTCGCGTGTTCCCATGGTCACGACACAATGGACTTAATTCGCTGGATTGCGAGCATTTTGATAAAATAGCTTTACAGCTTTTACAACAGCAGCTTCTTACAGCGCGTGTCCGGGCGGATAGGCTAGGTACGGTAAGCCCAGTCAAAAAACTGCATGTTATGAATACTGCTGGATGAAAGGAGCAGCATAATTTGGCACAAGAATCAACCCTGTTCCAATGCACGGGAGGGTCCGAGGGTGGCTTTGCCTTTCACGTTTTTCGGACAAATGAGCCACCTGACATGTGTCATTGCATTGCGGTGATGGTTGAGCTATTACAGAACAATTCGCAAAGGGATGCCTAGAATTGTTCATCATGGTCCCTCCGATTCAGACGACATCCGGCACACGTACCCACTAGATCACAGAGTACAAGATGTAGGTCACGGAATTTTCGGGGACGTCTGGAAACTTCAACCAGACAATAACGTGCATATATGCAATGGCTGCTTAGACATGAATAAATCAGCATGTCACTTAACAGCAAATAATCTCCTGAATCATTAAACAAATGACCATGAGCACTATTGGTCATTTTACCTACGACCTCATAATCTTGTATTGCACCTGTCACCTTTCGAAATTGTCCAATCATTATTTTTTGTTTCGTTTTTCTCCTGAAGGATGTCCAGCACATCGCCTGCATGATCATATGCAGTTTTCTTTCCAACGCAATTACCTGGAGTGTCACCGGGGTCAACATAGGGGTCATGATGTGGGTCGGATCGTATTTCTAGTTCCTGAGACGTGAAATACAGGCGATAAGGGTGTGTGTATAGGCTCATCGCCCAAAAAATACGTTGATGATATCGTCAAGTGTGCGAGAGGTCAGGCAGGTCACACGCATCAGTCAATGTTTTGACCTGGGATAATGGTGGTGGGTAATACATAGTTGCCAGTCGACGTCGGTATCATTCGCAGGTCTATTTGGGACTAAAATGGTGAATGCTTAATCAAGTAGACCAAAAACGCGAGTAGATGCAACAATAGTTTTCGGTATCCTGGCACCATGGCCAGCAATAATTCTGGCCCTGACAAAGACTGGTACCGGCTGGACACTTGCATGTGACTCAGGTTCAGGTGCGCCAGGACTCGACAAACTGCTGGCTCTGCAGCCGGTCGGGTCGGTTGCCGGGATTATCTATCGCTGCAAACTTTTGCATCTCTGCTTTGGAACGTACAACAATGCGTCCGTGACCCGATCTTTACAGAAGGTGGCTGAAAAAATCATGCTGGTCGCGATAGAAGTGTCGGCGAAATGAAAAAAAATGGTATTGCGTGACGCATTTGTGCAAGGAAAATCAGAGGAAGGAATGTGTGAGCGAATAGCTGTTTACCCTAGACAACATGAAGGATAATGCATACACGGGATCATTCATTTTTAAGAAATGTATTACAGCTGAACGGTGCACCTTCGTTGATATTCTCCACATATATGAGTCTGAATCCTCGCTCAGCGAAGCAAAAGACCAGCTGGCGTTTCATCACATGGGGTCAAAGCACAATCCCTGTCACGCATTTAGTTGCGTGACCCTGCTTCCGGTCATAAGACGGCGCTGACCGGTCATGGGTTCGGAACATTTCACATCCGTTGTACCGAAGGCAGCGCGGGGGTCTCAGAGCCACAACACTCAGTGCTCGCTGCCTCCATTTGTGCATTAAGCGAGGGATTGCTACCACAACTTTCGTGTAGTATCTGACTCCCTGGTGGGTGGACAACCCAGCTGTGGTGGCAGCAGTTAAATCTGCTTCAATGCCGGCATCGGCACGTTTGATACAAAACCTACATCCTGGTCTATAGAAACTGCACAGCTCTTGGGACGGGTGCTCAGGTAGTTCAAGAACAGAGCTAACTTTGCAAATATTCGTCATGAGATACTTTTGGGCTTTAATGTAATTGGCTTTTTTGCTACTTCGCACCACGGTTTCGAGTCCTGTGCCAAAAAATAAATCGATGCACAAATAAGTCTTCTTTGTCAGCCTAAAAGAGGCTATCGAAGATGGCAAAGGAATTGGACGCGCGTTTTCGCACCACGCGGCACGCGAAAACAGTCGAAACGCAGCGCCGCTCAGCACCTTTATATTGATAAAAGGTGGCACCATGCTGGTCAACATCTTCAGGGGTCAGCGTGTGCACGCTGTCACGCAACTGCCGCCAACGACTTATTATTGTGTTTCAGCATCAAATGCTTGCGAAGCTTCCACGCGAAATGATGCACCTCATGCGTGAAAATATACATGCACTTGCGTGCTGTGTGTAATGCATTTTATCATGTGGACCGAATTTGTCGCTATAAATGTTTGTGGTGCAAGAACATATGAAGGAATCATCACACTGACACACATTGCCCAAGTGACCACAAAAATACAACATTGCTATCAGACGCATTCACGAATAAGATCTCCTTTCACTAATCCGCCCGCTACCCATGGACCGTGCGCATAACCATCCACTGCTCATGAGCTGTGCACATACCCATCCATGGGCTGCGCACATACCCATGCGCTACCCATGGGCTGTGCACATACCCATGCGCTACCATGGGCTGTGCACATACCCATGCGCTAACCCGTCCTCTTCAGATATCCCCACTCCTGATCCACCCGTTTGAATTTCGCAAGCACATTAGACGTGAATTGTAGAGATATTTGATGAGTGGTCACAACGAAACATGTTTGGAAACTATTTATTTTTGTGATTCGTGTAAATTTCATGAGGTGTCTGTAATTTTATTAAAATAGGTAACCAGCCCAACTCATAATGCATTCAATGCGGCCATCCGTTGGTTTGAACAGCCCGTTAAGTCCTCCAAATGCCATCACCTCACAAAGCAACACAAAAGCTCACATTGCTAGACTACATTGCAATACCCGCATATGTAGGTGATGGACAATATAATCCGCTGTACATTTGTGGCATTAAAACCGTTCAGTTCCGCGCTCGTCATGTTATGCTAAAAGGCGTCATTGCGCCTTTTAGCCAACCAATGCGCATGTCGACTAGATATACACAATTTAATGTCGTCACTGACTGACACGCAATCGTCGGCATCTCCCACCTACGCAAAAATATCGCCAACGTGTTGATGGGCGACGAGCTTTCAACTGATATCCATATGGGCTGTGTTGCATGCCACGCACACCGAGTGATTAGTGACGAAACTACTTTTGGAGTTTTCGAACTGTTCCTTTGGCACATCGGGTATGGAGTTGGCAAGGGTCATATCCGGCCTCTCCCACTAAGCTGTTGGATCTATGTTCCAGCCCCAGGTACGCCTGACCCCTGATGGTTCTTACACCACATAAATAAATTCCGAGACGTGATTTCATCGTAATTTGCTGAAAACTGGGATGTCCCTACGCAGAAATATTTTGTCTAAATGCGTCTTTACGTTTGAAAACAATTTGTTGCGATTATATCCTTATACCTGTGCGTGCATGGGGGAGCCCCAAATAAACAAGGCGCAAAACACAATAACAACAGCTTCCCTGGTGTCTTGGGCGGCGGGGAAGGAGATTTTTACCATGGGTGAATAGGGTGAATGTTACATTTCCCACAAAGTAGAGCTCCCCCAACACACACACACACGCACACGCGCACGCGCACGCACACACACACACACACACACACACACACACACACACACACACACACACACACACACACACACACACGCACACGCACACGCACACGCACACGCACACGCACACGCACACGCACACGCGCACGCGCACGCACACGCACACGCGCACGCGCACGCACACGCACACGCGCACGCGCACGCGCACGCGCACGCATACGCACACGCACACGCACACGCACACGCACACGCACACGCACACAGAAACACACCCTGCTTCCGCCATCCGTGGTCGATCGTACACCTATTGTTCGAGGCCGTTTACGCCACCAAGGACATTCGGAGTTGGGAGTCCTGTAACGCCGCTCGCAGGAGTGACTGAAGCAGATCCCAAGAGGCGCAAGCCACGAAGCAAATGGCGCGACGAGCCCACTTGGACCGCAGCAGCACGCCTCGCATGGCCGTCAGTATCGCTGCCCAGCAGCGGGCCGCGAGCGACCAGTGCTCAGGACGTGCGAGCGAGCGCAGATTAGTGGTGCCCAGGTGCGGTTGCCGACCATGGTGACGGCGGCAGGGCAACGGACACTTCCCAAAGAACGCAAATACACACAGCACTCACCAAGGAGAAGAACAAAGCAGATGGCGAACCGGATCTCAAACTTCTGTCGGCATACCTCGTATATGCCGTACAGCGGCGGCAGAATCATGGCCAGGTTGCTGACCGTGTTCCCTGGCAAGAGCGGGGCGGAGGGGTTTCAGCGACAGAAACTGCTGCACGCACTGGTGACCCGCGATGCGAGACATAACATGGAACGATGACTTTCAATACAACGACCGAAACGGTGGGACAGCACAGCCTACACGCGTCAACGTTAGCGAAAACGGAAGAACGCAACGGACGCACTGTGGCAGGCCCACCCAGCAGCATTCTTCGACGAAGGACTGCAATTAAATCCCCCACCTTATCTGCCCCTCCGGAGCTCATGCGACTAAAAAAACTGACGTCCAACAAAACCATAAACCCACCTGTGACGAGTCTCGCGATCATCGTAATCAAACATGCCTTCTGCCTGATTCAGATCAGGCCAAAACGACGCTCCACTGGTGCAAAAAACAGATGCTCGGTCGGGCGTGACCACAAGCTATTTTCAGTACTAAACCATTCATCATCGGCATTATAGCCGCTATTGGTCGCCTTGGTTGCTGCTACTACTATAACTAAATTCGTGTGCGGTCTTTTTATAAGTGCCCAATTAATCTGTCATATAACCGACGGCTCAGCTGCATTGCATATAGCTATATAAATCCCCCCCCCCTAATATTGCGTGCAGGTTGCAACCAACATCTGCTCATTTGGTTTGTGTTCAATTGCCAAGCGTTTGTCTCCACTTTCGAATGCGCCAGTCCTTTTCTATGCGCAGATGTCGCCAATGATTGTTGTCACAGAACGCACGCAAGTGTGCTAAGTCCACAAAACGGATACATCTACAAACCACTATTTGTCACATTATGAAGCCGCGATGAAGACTCACAGAACTCGGCGATGTAGCTGCTGACCACGTAGTTGGCTTCACACCAGTCGAGTGTTGATGTGGGCTGGCCCCAGAAGCCGTCCACAGGAGCCATCGTGCTCGGTTGGCGAGGCCTTCAGACTCTGGCAAAAACAAATGCGGCATAACATCAGACCAGTCATTTGGACTGCGAATGCATCACAGCGCCGGAGGTACTGCCGAAACGCAGTCCATACAGTGCATACGTCCATGCCTTACCCCCACACAAAATCATAAATCTACGGGAAATGCGATACGTGTCACTGTGCATTGATTCTATGGAATAGACCGAATGTGATTTATAGGATCTATGGAACAGGCAAGCAGCATTCTCTCCAAAATTGGGAACGTGTTTTCATCGGGCCGTCACGTTCCTTTGATAACTCCTTTCGTTTGGGTGGGTGGGGTCAATCAGCAGAGCGAAATCACGATGAGCACCATAATCACTAGCTTGTGTTCCTTCTCATTTTCAGTGCGTGTTTGCAAACGTACCTTACCTTTATGTGTCCACGTGTCCACTGTACAAGAATATGTTCCTGAACTGTTTTTATTAGCTGCTAGCTATCATATTTTGAATAATAGAGAAGCCTAAAACATGAATATTGGAGGAGCCTAAGACATCTTGACCCGGCATTAGCACAGTATAACTAAGCAGTCAATCGATTTTCGGTTCAAAGCACAACAGAAGAGCACCAAGTAGTATCAAAAGACTCGCATGTTAAAACATCGAGTATTTTGGAGCAACCCCTCCAACGGGGATTCTTCGAAACAAGAACGCCTTTCGGCGCGCGGGTCGACTCCCAAACCGAACGCGAGGGAGACAGGAGACAGCATAACATGATTCCAGCCGCTGAAGATCGATTGCGGCAAAACCGTCCACTGCTGACGGTATTTTGAAACCCCCCTTTCCTGGTGAATTAATAAAAAGCTCGCCAATCCGCGCATACTGGTCCACATACAGGGGGCGAGCAAGTGTGAAAGATCGGGTTCAGGTGCATCGTGACCCAGGGGTCGCCAAAGGCCAAAATCGGATGGGAGCGTGTTGGGCGCTGCCAAATTTTTTCATAAACGTGTGATTCTAAGCAACTTCACATGCTTCCCGACTAATATTTCTAAACTTAGCGAGATTTGGTATTATTATGAGAGGACTTGGGCTCTCGGTTTTGCAGCACTGCGGGTTGGGAGTTCCTATTCTGACACTAATCGGCCCTCACTTTACCAGCACGTCCTGGTTAAGCGACCTCGTTAGGGAAGACACAGCTGCGCTGACAGAATCCGACGCTTCAAGCTGCGTCCATGGCCTTGTAATAGTGAACACAGCTTGAAATGTCTCGTTTTTGTCAAAATAGCCAATGCCTTCTATTACAGGTCAATTATGGCCAGTAATAATTCCAACTGTTCGAAAAACTGCTTTGGAATCTTGTGTTTCCTTTTCATCCCATCTGCACATTCGCTCAATATTGTAAAGCCACATCGCGGTCAGCGACGACTCCCGGGATGGGGGGGGGGGGGGGGCGTACAGTCAAGGTCGAAAAATGGTTTAATTTCGCGAGTGAAATTGCGTTAAAAAATATGACTGCTGGAGGTCCCCACTTTCCAATATAATTTTGGTAGCTAAAGCAATATCAGTATAATAAATTAAAGAATAGTACAAGTGATGGATATGTGCATCTGACTGTACCGCATAAGGCGCTCGGTGTCAACACATTAAACGCCAAACATCTAATGGTAACAAATGCTATAACATTCTAATATACACACACATGCACACACATGCGCACATGCCCACGTGCACGCACATACACACAACACACACACACATACAATACATATACGCCCCCCCCAAACACACACACACACACGCACACACACGACAGAAACTAGTATGCGCGGCGCAATCAGATGTGGTTCCGCGTCATGCCTTCTGATGCGGGCCGTTGTCAGTTGGCTTCGTCCGATCACGTCGTTGGTGTTTTAGATCACTTATGCGAAAGGAAGCAGGTTTCCGAGGCCCAGAATGTCTCCCCGGCTTTCTTGTGTTGCTTGGATTCCACAAAACTTCTCAGGTTCAACTCATGTTTCTGAGGCCCCTAATGGATTTAGGCGTCCTTGCAGGTTCGTAGCCAGAACTTTTCCCAGGGCGCGGGGGAGGAGATCGAAGTTTCTCTGAACCCCCGCGAATTTGGACTGAATTCTTGCAGAATCTGTCACTATCTTGTGTAAGCCTCGTGGCTTGTGGGACTGGGCGGGCATGATACCCATGACCCCCTCCCTCCGTCCCCCGTCTCTATGATCTAACTTGGGGGTCCTCGTGCCTTTGGGGTCCTAAACCTTTTCGGGCTCCTGATGCTTCCGCAGTCGCCTCAAGCTTCTCGCCCCACGATGTTCTGGGTCGTGGCATATTGAGGATACCCTGGTGTTTCTGAGGACCTCTGATGTTTTGGGGTCCTGTGATATGTCCGGAGCTCCATGATACTTATGGCAACATCGTGCTTTTGGGGCACCCTGATGATTCTGGGCGATGAACTCCTGATATTCTGGGATTGTTCCTGGTACTTTTGGGTAATCGAGACAATCTTGTTCCTATTCACTCATGCATGTTGGAGAAATCCTGATGCACTCGAGGGACCCCTAGCGATTGCCCATAAGGGCCATCTGACACTTCTGTTACTCCTCCTGCATAAAAGGGCATACTGCTTTTAGGTCTGGCAAGGTGCTTGGGCCATCGAGATATTTGTGCGGTCCTTCTCATTGTGTGCGGACAGGCAGACCCCAAAACGTTTTGCCCCCTGCGGAGGCCCCATACGGATCCCAAATGAGACCATGGTCCATTCCCGGATCCGTCCCTGAACATAAACGCCCACTTTTCCTGACGGTATTTAAGACAAAGTTGCGACAGATTAATCGACACTGCGCCGTAATAACATTGCAACCAATTAGAACAAAATTAGCTGAAAATGCAACAAACGGCTAACTGCTCCGCAACAGCCTGCAACACTTCATTGCATACTGAGCGAACCGGACTTTTCCTTGTTGAATGGAATTACACACATGAAGACCGATAAATTAGGACACTATTTAGTTCGTGCAGGCATAATGCCATGCATGCAGGAAGAGATACCTACTGCATAACAGTCCACAACACCTAATTGCATGCCGAGCAAAACGGGTTTTTCATTGTTGAATGGAGTTACATTCAAGGTCGACAATTTAAGGCACTTTTTAGTTCATGCAGGCACAATGACACATGCTAGTACACCTAGTTGTATAACGCACCTGGTGATACCCATATTGTGGGGTCTTTCGTGATAGATTATCAAACAATTGCTCGCGAAACCCTTGCCGGACCACGCTCCGTTTAATCTCAGTGGCAAACGATAGCCAGGGACTGCAGCATTCATCAAGGCAACATGTATAAATCAGCTGACTGTTCAGTAATGGTCGGCTAGCCCTAAAATACTGTGAAAAACTACACGCATGCACACTAGAAATACCACGCGCACAAATCAGATTGTACAAATTTTACATTAAACACTGGACATCCGACATCGCAATTTGAACCATAGGAAAGAAAATGTCTACTCAGTATAAATCCACTTTAAGACACTACGAAACAACTAACACACCGCAACATGTTTAAGGGAACGATACGGAGGGAGGAATGGTCGTAGGGAATATGTCACGCTCCACGATTGTTCTGACTTTAAGTGGCGTAAAATGCAGTTCTCTTTTGCTGGAAAAATCGGACAAAAAGTGCTAGGTTTTTCCCTCATCATCTTCGCTGAATCCACCGATAATATACCAGCACATTGCTGTCAAACAGCTGACCATGCGTCTGAATGCATTATTATTTATGCGCCGTTCACTGGGCAGATGCCGGGTCAAGACCAAGGAGCGTTACCGAAGGTGCGCATTAACGCAGCGACGCCTCATGTGTAGAAAGACGACTTAAATGGGTGCGCTTAGCGCATTTTAGTTCTGGCACAGGTGAAGAAAATTGCAGCACTTCACTCGGGATGCCATAGAAGATTTCGTGTTGCAACCCTTTGAACTCAACGCTCCAGTATGATTGCAATTGGTCGTTCTGTACGCTGCTGGAATCGGGCACTCTTTGAGAATGAAATCCGCGGTCAGCAAACCTTTAGTGATCAATCTTTTCCGCTCAGCTTGCACATTGCAATGCAGTCACCTTACACCAAAATGTATATTCCCCATTTGTAGAACACAGATTTGGTCGAAATATTTTGATTCAATCGATATCCCGACTCAGCGCTCACACCTTGCAGTGCCTGTTGTGTAAGACACAACGACCACCCGATTGCACCATTCACGACTATCCCATCGTGAAATTCCCGTGAAATGGCAGCATCTTGAGGCGAAACTTTGAGGTGTCGCAGTGCTTGGCACGGTCCACATGTGACCTCCCTCACCTGACGTGGACCGCCCGCAGCCACTGACCACCCAGTCAGGGGCAAATAACAGCGCATATAACAACCCGAACCATCACCCCCGCCAAGGGTGGCATGGCTGGAGATCTCGTGAGAGCCAGAAGATCCAGACCCCCTGGGCCCAGTAAACCTACAATCTCGGAGTGGTTCAGGCGGGGGGGGGGGGGTCAAGTCTCAGGGGACCGATTATTTTTCGGCTCATAAAGCGCGAAGAAAAAATGGCCGTGAAAAATGTTACGAGCTGAAAAGCTGTCTTACGCCGGAATAATAATTCAGATAACTTTATGATCATACCACAGCCAGGGGCGCCGCTAGAGCCTTAGTAAAGAGGGAACACAGGGTGGGCAGCCCTCCCCCGATCCCGGATTTCGTGCACTTGGTTTCAAGGGGGTACCATTTTCCTCATTTATTTTTTATCATTGGCCTTTACTGAAGCAGAAGCCAAAAGTCACGGGAAGATGTAATTCAGTTTGTAGGCTAAAGTCAACAAATCAAGAAACCGGGCCATAAGAAATCCGTAGAATAAACCGACGACGTTATATCTTTTGCAATGAGCCAGCGGACTCTTTCCAAACCAATAGCAATATATGGCTGTGCTGGACCTCGTCGGGGTTATATATATATATATATATATATATATATATATATATATATATATATATGTATATATTTGTTGAGGCCCACCGATTGGATGTAGGTTATGGACCGAAACGAGGCTAAAAGTTGTATTGACACAACCAATCGATGTTCGTCTGAACATTTCCATCCTGCATCCAGAGGGGGTCGTAAAAAATTATGTATTTTTCTTACAACCCTAAGGATACTCATGATTCACCGTACATGACACCAGTCTGACCCGTAGTTCAAGGAGTCAGAGCGCCTGACTACCAACCGTCTTTCCCAAAAGGCTCTACTTTTAAAACCAATATCGAAGGGACTTCTTAACAATGAAATGGTCCCAAACCCAGAGATGCTAAATTGACTGGTGGTGGGGGGCGTTCCCGTTGAACTGGGCCGAGTGGTCCAGTGCTCCTGGGTCCGGCGCCTCTGGCTCTCTATTCTCCAGGGATGCAGTTCCCTTTTCAGTTGGAGACTTTTAATCCCCCGCCCAGCCCGCTCTCATGGGCTCTAGCCCTCCCCCACACTTTGAGAATAAAGTGGGCCAAATATAGAAGACACCTGTTTTTTCATATTTCATAGGAAGTTTGGCTCATTTCTCACCGTTCAGCCCCCCCCCCCAAAATCAATTTGTGAAACTACGCCCCTGCTCCTGTCCCTTTTACCCCCCCCCCCCTCCCCACATACTTATTGAGAGCAGTCACCAGCCCTGACGGGCCGGATAGAACACAGATACATTAACAGATCGAGGCAGGGGGCGGAACTCGCATGCATGGCGAGAACGTATCCAAAGGGGCGGGGCAGGGCACTTGGCACTTGGGATCGTTTCTTGTCATGCACCGGTATGAACCCGGCGCCAAAGTATCCCCAAATTCGGGACCCGAGCCCCTCCCCCTCAAAGTTCCAATAACACGGTAGTTATCACGCTCTTCCCAATGGACCACAGGTCGTGGTTTCAAGATAATGGATAACACCCCAATTTCTGCTTGCAACGCTTAGTTTTAGTGCCATTGGCACAGCGATTGTAGTTTGCCAGTCCGTGAACGGGCATGAGGCCCAACTTAACTCCGACCCTGGTCCTGGCAGTGATCTAAAATGGTAGGAAGACTTGTAGTTAAAACTAAACATCTTGGAAGCATTTCATTGTTGCCAGTTGCTGCTAGTCCTTGCCAATTATGGTTTCTGCCATGCGACGTCAACCTGTCCGACCGGCTGGCCGTCTGCTTAAGACAGCTTTCGTTAACCGTGTTCAAACGATTTACCTTTGCCAATTGAAATCCGCTTCCGGATTCCAGAAGGTTTAATCTCACTTGGTTTAATCTCTCAATCTCACTCTCATCTTAGTCGAACGATGAGGAGAGCTTATGCTTGTCACAATGGAAGCTTAACACATTATTTGCACGGTTGCTCGACAATCATGATTCGCTGTTGTCAGTTCCGATTTGCAGCATTGGAGATTGAGTTCACCTGCAAGTAATGCCATGGTAATGTATTAATATGTTTATCTAGGTGGGGGAATGCGGCCTATTGTAAGCTCTGAACGACCAGGCTGTCAGGATGGTTCAAGCCCTGGCCCGGGGCAGGGGCAAACCATGAGCCTGATAAAATGAACGGGTTTAATGAGCTTTCCATGCCAATGCATCACGTAAAGATGAAAGTATAGCGTCATGCAGCTGTCGTGGCCGTTATCATATACGCCATCGCCAGCTTAAACGGTCTGCTGTCGCCTCTGCTCTGCTGTCGACTAATGAGGAAGCGAAGATAGCCGGCGCGCGTCATTTGTTTGAATGAGGCGATGCGTCCAAGGCCGTAACGGTGTGTCACATGCGATCGTGCACGAGTAAAAACGGGTCTCCACCTGTTGTGCACCAAACGCGGGAGCCAAACAGGTTAATCATTCCCCCCGTGTCAAGAGGTAACACAGCAGTGTGTCCCGGCGTGCACCGACGGCTAGGGAAGCCACAGGTAGCCGCCGCTGGTTGTGGGAGGCGGGCTGGCTGCCGCTCGACCACCTGAGCCACGCGAGTACGGAATTCAAGGACGGGGCCTTAAGCCTTGAGGTAGGGGGGGGGGAGCGGGCAGAGGATGACGTGGCCTTTCATGAACAGACGAAACAAACATCCTGCTGAAGTTCTTTCAATTGTGGACAGTTGCTACGCTAGTCCCGTGCCCGTCCCCACACGTCTTTGAGCGCGACTGACCTTGGTAGGCGCCGAAAATAGGGGTGCCACCGCCACCCCACGCCCACGCCCGCAGGCTAGCCTCACTGCCTCGCTCGGGCCGCTCACGACCCGGTCAAAAATAGCGGCCACGTGAGGGACTGGTTGCGCTCACACGACGCGCAGACACGAGCACTCACGTGCGGGCAAGTGGCGGCGTCCTTTCCACCACGCGCTGTCGTCCCCGGCACTCGCAAACGACTGTACCAAGCCGCGTCACACGCGCCCACCTCCCACAGCTGCCGCCGCCGACCACCGCCTCGCACTGGCACAGTCCCACGCGGCGGCCCGCTGCACGAGCGAACGTCGATAGTTGGCTATGTGGCCGTCTGGCGGCAGCACCGACGCGCTCCGTTGGGCGCTAAGCGCGCTGTACGGACAGAAAGTCGAATGGAATAGTCAAACAACAAAGTCGAACCCCAAAAAGTCGACAAGGATATAGGTCGATAAGAATAAAAAGTAGTCAGAAAAGTGAAAGGGTGTAAAAATCAACGGGGTAAAAATCTAAACCCAAAAGTCGAAAGACTGGCGTGACAGTCAAGTCAGAGAAGAATCAAAGGAATAAAGTAAACGTCGACAGAGATTTAGACACCGGATGAAGGGCTGGTGGCAACCGTGGTGTTTGTGGAAAGCCAATGGGAGCCAGGGACTAGGTTCTAGCTTTATAAAGAAACTAGTAGAAACCAGGAAGCCATAAAATTGGCAAGCACAAAGATGATAAGCTAAGATAAGCACAAAGATAAGCTAGTGGGACTGCAGGTGGTTATGGGCATGGCGGGTTCGGCGGGACCATGACTCCCGTTGGTTCTGGCATTTTGGTCAGGGACTAAAAATTTAATGCCACTGGGGCTGCGTTTCTTTGGATAATGACAATAGCCGGACGCTGCTAGAGCCAAGCAATCTCCCGTCAATCGTCCGTCGATGAAATCATCCAGCCCCAAGGCCAGACAGTCGGAGAGCGGGCAGCTCCATAGCTCCGGCCACTACCGACCTCTTGATGCGCTCAGTCACAGCGGCTCGGGAGCGGAGCAACGGCCGGACCACCACCGTGGCACGGGGGCCGTGTAGGGCCCTAAAGACGTTTATGTGGCCGCGGCGCGTAACAAGGTCACTCGTGCCGCGCCAGGCCAGCGACCTTGAGGCTGGTGGAATGTGATCTCGACTCTGCGCTCCCGAAACGATCCTGGCCACGAAAGTCACGACTTTTTGTACCCAATAGAGACAGCAGGCGGCGGTCCCGCCCTAGGCTGAGAGGCGGTGTAGGATATGGGGAAAAAGATGGTCAAGATAAGGTGCTTGCGAACTCCAGGTGTGAGGTGATGAATTTTGTATGGACGAAATAGGATGGAGTGGCACGTTTGCCTGATTTGGATATGTGGTTCTCCTAGGATAGGGCACGACGACTGTCATTTCCAGCATCTTCACGCGAGAGGGGGGGGGGGGGGGGTGGGATTAATATTAGATTGGACATGTTACGATGGGAGGATGAGCTTTTTCACGGACTGGGGTGTGCCGACTAGAAGAAATGTGGTCTTGGCAGGGTCCACCTTCAGGGCATTGGCAGTGAAGTGGGAATGGAGGGCAAGGAGGGTTTTCTCCTGTCGACATTTTATGGTGGACCAGTGATTGGGGTGGGCTGAGCCGAGGAGTTGGCATCGTCGGCATAGGAAACCGTGCCCGTGGGGCAGGTACGATGGAAGGTCGTTTGTGAAGATGGTGAAAAGGGTTGGACTCACCGGGGACCCCGGAGGGACACCATGGGACAAGGGAAGGAATAGTGAGCCACGTCTCGCCACCGGCCGCCGTCCATCGAGGTAACTTTGAAACCATCACGTGTTGATGCCGTGCCAATGCAGCTTGGTCAGGGGGATACCGTGGTCAGCGTTGCCCAGGGGTGAAAAAAACTTCCGATTCACCGGATATGGCCGGTGACAAAAAACCAACACTTTTGAGAGCCAATCGATGACAAAATTGCGAAAATGCAAACAAATTGCAATACACCGGACCACATGCAACAGACCATCCCAGCCCGACGGAGCTCAAGGCTTAGTATTCGTCTGCACGCGCTAACGCCTGCAGCGTGAGCATGTGCAGAGCACATGTCGGAACGTTGGCGTTTCGCGGTATGAGCAAGTTGAGCCATGAGATGCTGTCAAACATAGTAGTTTTAATCGGGACATTTTTAGCAAGTGACAGAAACATACTGCAAACTATAGTTTATCAGCGCCGACGTCACAGATCAGTGATGACAAAGTGCTCCTTCAATATCCCTCAGATCAGTGCTTTTCACAGATGTTTGAGCCAAAATTCACCACGCGTACTAAACAGTATAAAGTACCAAATAACTAGGCTTATTACTAGTCCTGAAAATCGTTGCTGGCCACAGCATCTTGCGACGAACGTGATCAGTTTGCTGTGCAGCGTTTTAAAGCGTCGTGCCATTTCGGACGGATGAGCTTGAATGCTGGCCGTGCGGTAATGCGTTGGGTTCATTGCAAGGCTATGGGCTGCTGTTGATTGTGTTCATGTGGTGAGAAGCTGACTGGCTGGAAGAACGTATCTAATGTCAGTTTTCTAAAAAAATATGGTAGCGTTAAAAAGCCCTGCCAGTCTACGAGGGTTATTGTTTGTGGACACCTGAGCTGTGGCTTCAGAGACCAACAGATGACTTTGAAGCGACACGTGTCAAGGATTCATCTAGGGCTTCCTGCTGCTGTGAGGGGCAGCAGCTTTGAGATATGAAGTCGAGCATCGCTGGTGTAGGCCTCTCATACTCCCTGTGGCACGACAGACTTAGCGTGCTAATCGGTGGACAGGCGGGAGATAAAAGCTTTTTATGGTCGTCAAACTGCATATAAAGCCAAATGAAGGCGCTAGAGTGGTTCAAAAATGTTATTTGCGTCTGTTGATACAAACTTTGCATGGGTTTTGCTCCAGATAATTGGGATCACGTGCGAGTTCTGCACCGGTACTAATCATGCTAAGATGGTGAAGGTCGCCAGCGTCTTTTTCTAGTTCATTGTACGACGTCACATAACCTTAAGTGATATTTTCCGGTGCTTGTACAACCATGCTATCGGTAAATGTAGGGCTATAGGGATGCAGTTTGCAAAATACGTAGGGGTGAGTGAGAGAGAGCTGGGAGGGGGGTGTGGCAGAAAGAAAAAAGGGCTACACCTGCCTCCGAAATGCACTTAAACAGTTTTCTCCCAAGATCTGACGCACTGTCTGTTCACAGTTGGGGACAAGGTGCAGTATCTCAAAATTAGTTTTGCAGGGCTGAACTCTAAAAATCATGATGGAAAATAATGGTTAAAAGGCGATTTCCAAAAATAGGAAACTGCACGCCTGGCTAGGATGCATAATCCCTCTCCAATAACAAAAAAGGAAATTATACGCCTCTAGGCTGGTTCTATTAAGTACGACTTCATCTGATAATTTAATTGGTTTAGTCCCAATCATCATTCGGTGTTTGATGGCCAGCAAATGATACTTTAGTGCAAATGACTACCCGAAATGAAAATGCCTGACGGCTATGCCGCGTTGCATTACATTTATCTTTGTTTTTGTGATTTATCGCAAGTAGAATTATAATGCAACGGTTTCTTGAAAGATTTGGCTCCAGGTGACAATTCAGACGGTTCCAAATTTGCTAGTGACGGAAAAGGCGCCTTTTCATCCCTGGCGCTGTCGATAAGTATATTTCACGTCATCTTTAGGCCAACGCTAGATGCATTGTGGTCACTCCACGACGTTTTGACTGGAGTGGGTGCAACTGGGCGGGTGCAGCGCTGAGTGCAACCCGCTTCAAATTTGACAAATGAGTCAGGTCTGTGAGTGTTAGGTCCTACTTACCATCAGATGCGGCAGCTCCATTCTCCACTCTGTTATTATGTGCTGCTAGTGTAAACAACAGGTGGCCAGCGCCCGCGCCCGTCCGAGCGCCCGCCGCATACCGGACATGGATACCATGCACGTGAAAAGGTCCTTTGGTGATACAGTTTGACACGCGATGCCAGTATCATCGCGTGCACGATCGCCATCGTTTGGGATAACACGAGACTTTGTTTTTGTGCTACAGAATATGCGCTACAGCTGCGACTGGCTGCATGGGACGGTCGAAAAATATAATAAATAAAAAATATAATATAAAATACAGTAAAAAAATACTAAAAATATGCTTGTAACAAATAAAAAATATAATAAATAAGATTGCAGCCATACACGACAACACCGTTTCATAAAAATGGGGAAGCCATAGATGGCTTTTTAATTTTTAACTGAGTTCTGTGCTGTTTTTGTCACGTCGACGCCGCTTTAACGAAGATGCCAATCTCATCACAATAATGCGAAGGGGTTTGGCCTGCACACAGTTTTGGTAGAATATACCCCAAATTACATTAAGATACTATGATTCGTTCGGTACCCTCCTCGTGCATGGAGTTGTCTTTTTGCTCCGAGATAATGGTGCAAGCATCGGCCGTAACACTGATCCAAAGGGGCGCAGCTTTACCCTGGCGTTGATTCACCTGTGCAGCTTGTCTGGCCAATACGCTACGGTGGAAGACCAACGATAGTCACTAAGCTTTTTTGTGAAGTTAGCATTGGAGCTGTAATTCATCGTAGCCGTGGACTGCGGATCTATATAAAGTGTTAGTGACCGGTTCTAAATCCTATGCAACCTATTGAACGAGTTTGGCGGAGCTGAAACCCAACGAAACTCGATGGAAGACATTTAAATCAAATCTGACTCACACAATCTATCACAACTTAATCAGGCATGTGTCTGGTTCCCAGTATTGATGTCTGGCTTCCTCACCTTTATGAAAACGAATCCCCGCATCCTGGTTCCGGTCGATTCTTCCACAAACACAAGTCCCTGTTTCCTGGATCCCATTGATCTGTTCACAAACGTCGGACTCTGGCTACTGTTTCTCAATGGCCCTTTCACAAAACATAGCATGCGTGTATGGCGGCTGGTCGCCCGGTCGTCTAAGCATCTGCTGCTGCTGCTCCTGCTGTGTGCCGCGGACCGCCCGGCTTTCTTGGAATTGGGCGGCACCCCAGCCAGGATCCAGTAACCGGGGCCCCAGCCAAGAAACCGTG